TTGAATTCTTACTGGAGAATATGCTTTTTATTGATTTTTTTAAAGAGAGTGAGAGAGAAAAACATTGATTAATTGCCTCCTGTATGCATCCTGACCAGCATTTGAACCCACAACCTTTTAGTGTACAGGATGACATTCCAACAAACTGAACCATCAGCCATGGCAGTTGTTTGGTGTTTTTATGTAACTTTTAAAGTAAGTACAGCATTTGCAGTGTTGTAAAATTTATATATACAAAAGGCTAATAGCAATGTGTCCCCTCGGGAGTTTGACCAGGAGACCGGGAGTTTGATCAATCACTATGATGTGTGATGACCACCAGGGGGCAGTGCAGAACGAAGGAAGGCCCCAGCTGGTAGCCAGGATAGCCAGCCAGGCCGAGGGACCCTACCCATGCATGAATTTCGTGCACTGGGCCTCTAGTAGAAATTATAATAGGTAAGCTGAGAGAAGTGGGACCGCTGTATGTTACCTATCCACCTGTTTGACAGTATTTGAGGTGTTTTCATTTTGGGATTATTACAGATAAAGCTGCTGTGAGCATTCATGTATAAGGACCTCTGTGGACACCTGCTTTTATTTCTCACATAAATACCGAGGAGGGGAAAGGCTGGCTCCCATGGTGGGTCCACATTTAACTTTTGAGAAAACTTCCAAACTTCCTTTCCAAGTGACTCCATCATTTTGCCTTTTCAACAGCTTGGGTGAGAGTTCCAGTTCCTCCCTGTCCTCACTAGCACTTGCTAGTGTCCGTCTTTAAATGTCCCAGGTACGGGAGGGGGAGGGAGTATCCCACTGTGATTCTCATTTCTGAGGACAGATGATGCTGAGCATCTTCTAGTGCTCATGTACTTTCCATATCTCTTTAAGTGTCTCTTCAGATCTTTGGCCCTTTTTTTTTTACTGGGTTGTTTATTTTCTTAGTAATGAATTTTGAGAGTTCATTATGTTGTGTGTTTTTTTAATTGATTTCAGAGAGGGAAGGAGAGAGATGGAAACATCAATGATGAGAGAGAATCATCGATCAGCTGCCTCCTGCATGCCCCCTACTGGGGATCAAGCCCACAACCCAAGCCTCCTGATTCATAGGTTGATGCTCAACCACTGAGCCACACCAGCTTGGCTCAACTACTTTTATAAAGAGCCTCCTCATTAAAAAAAAAAAAAAGGTAATAGGCAATATATGTATGTGACACAAAATTCAAAAGGTGCAAATTAACATACAGAAAAAAGTAAGTCTTCCTATCAACCCTGTTCTACAGTTCCCAGTTCTTTTTTCTGGAGGCAGCTGCTGTTAGCAGTTTCTTAAGAACCCTTCCAGAGACCCTGGCTGGTGTGGCTTAGTTGGTTGAGCATCGTCCCTGCACCAGAAAGTCCTCAGATCGTTTCCCAGGTTGCAGGCTCAATCCCTGCAACCATTGATCAGTGTGGGAGGCAGCTGATCAATGTTTCTCTCTTATCCTCACTCTCTCTCTCTGTAAAATCAATACAAATAAATCTAAAAATCATGGAAACATCAATGATGAGAGAGAATCATCGATCAGCTGCCTCCTGCATGCCCCCTACTGGGGATCAAGCCCACAACCCAAGCCTCCTGATTCATAGGTTGATGCTCAACCACTGAGCCACACCAGCTTGGCTCACTGTGTATACTTTATTATTATTATTATTGATATTTTACAGAGAGGAAGGGAGAGGAATAGAGAGAAACACATGAAAGAGAAACATCGATCAGCTGCCTCCTGCACGCCCCCTATTGGGGATGTGCCCGCAACCAAGGTACATGCCCTTGACCGGAATCGAACCTGGGACCCTTCAGTCCGCAGGCCAACGCTATATCCACTGAGCCAAACCGGCCAGGGCCACTGTGTAAACTTTTTAAGAAATATATTTTTTATTGATTTCAGAGAGAAAGAGAGAGAGGAAGAGATAGAAACATGAGTGATGAGAGAGAATGATTGATCAGCTACTTCCTGCACGTCCTCCCACTAGGGATCAAGCCACAACCTGGGCATGTGCCCTTGACCAGAATCGAACCTGGGGTCCTTCAGTCCACAGCCAACGCTCTATCCACTGAGCCAAACTGGCTAGAGCTCCTTTTTTTATTATATATTCTTCATACAAGTTCGTTATTAGAGATGTGATTTCCAGACCTTTTCTCCCAGCCTGACTTGACTTCTCATCCCAGCAATGTCATATATATTTAATTATTATTATTGATTTCAGAGAGAGAGAGAGAGATCAGTGATGAGAGAGAATCATTGATCATCTGCCTCTTGCACACCTCCCACTGGGAATTGAGCCCGCAACCCAGGCATATGCCCTGACCGGGAATCAAACCGTGACCTCCTGGTCTGCACAGGATGACGCCCATCAACTGAGCCACACGGCCACAGCGCTACAAAAATTATTTTTAAAGATGTTGGATATTATGAGAAACCTTGCAGGAATAAAAGTGACCTGTAGGTCAGCAAAGAATTGCAAAGGCACTTACGAAACTAAACCAAATACTGTAAGATAAGATAATACTGATAGTATAAAATTTTTATGTAGAGT